TCAGAAAAATGAAGAAGGGTCTAGGCCCGAAACGTCAGCCTTCCTGCTCCTATGATGCTGCTTGGCCTGCTGTGTTCATCCAGCTCTACACCTTGTTATCTCAGATTTTCCAGCATCTGCAGTTCCTACTATCTCTGATATCTTTTTTAGATTGTATTTCTTTTCTGTGCCATTGGTGATCTCCAGTACTTGGTCGGAATGATCTGATATTCAAGTGCTGCTGAAACAAAAAGATAAAGATGTTAATTCAATCTAACCTACATTTGGTTAGCCACTTATGGTGTGACTGGGCTAGGGGAAAATCAATACCAACAGGGATTCCTGCTCCTCAACAGTAGTAACTGACAGTACATGTGAAGGATCATTTGGATTTGAATAGAATTAGTTGTCTTATGGTGATCTTAATTAACAAACAACCAACTAACATTAAGTATCCCAACAGGAGCTGAACTGGGTACCAAAGTGGATTAAACACTGATGGAAAATATACAGATTTGAAAATTAAACTTGGGAATCTATCAGGTTGTTGATTTTGTGATGACTGTCATTCATCCCCAATTGGTGAAAGTCAATGGAATTGGTGGTGAGGGTGCAGAGTTTGAGACAGGGGTCCAAGACCTTGAGTTCATTATTACATACGTTGGACTAAAAGCAGCACTGTATTGCAGGCCATGGCTGCTGCCGGATTTTAAAAAAACCCAGGAAACAAAGGACACAGGTCAAAAGTAGGTGATTTATTTGGTGGTGGGGTGAGGTCACCAAAAGAAGAAGCAAGGCACCACTCCTTTGTCCTATGAAAATGCCCTTGAAGAGGCCGCGAGTACTTTGGATCAAGCCCTCTACACAGCCTGTGCCGTCTTTTTGCTGAGAGGACAGCTTATTGGCTGGTTTACTGCTGGGTTAATCCCAGAAATGGTGGGCTTTGATGCTTAGGTGGTCACTTATTGGCCACTTAAGGGCCTCAGTGCTTGAGTAAGAAGGTTAGCCCAGAACTTAACTCTGTTGGAGGCAAGAAAACAACTGAAAACTATGCACTATTTCCTTGTCTAACTAAATATCATTCTGCCCCTACTTTATTCTCTGAGACCAAAATATTCTTGTCTACACATTGAGGATTGTGTTGTGTGCCTGTTCGCCATTCTAATTAGGGTGGATTCAAAACCAGGCATTCATGAGGCACTGTGTGCCAACAAAAGCAAACAAACTTCACTGTGACTAGAAACGCAGTAGCCTGGCATGTGTCTACATCTACAGGTACTATCAACTCAAGGAACTAGCTGGATTCAAAAAGTGTAGAAGAACATGCTAGGACCTCCGATGGGCGTTCTTGAAAAAGAAGTGCAACTTGGTGAAGCTATCAGACAGCAAATACTGTGTAATGGATGCAGCACATAGGGAAGGTGATGGCTTGGTGTTCATGTGTCGGGATTAGTTAATCCACAGGCCCAGGTTAATTCTCTGGGGATATGGGTTTGAATCACACCACGCCAGCTGTTTTAATAAATTAATTTTTAAAAAATTATGAAATTTGAAGCTAGTGAAACTATTGTTGACTGTCATCCAATTCATTCACCCATGTCCTTTAGGTCCTTACCTGAACTGACCTGTGTACCACTCCAGGTTTACAGCTGGAATAATTGTCCTTCATAAGATTGTGATTAACTGTCCTCTGAAATGACCTAGCCACCCAAATTAATAGCATTTGGGGATGGGCAACACCTTGCAAATTTTGCCCACATTGTCTTCAAAGGGATTTTTATTTTTAAAAAAAAAAAACAAAATCTAATCAATTCCACCTCCCATTATCTCACATCCATTTCACTCCACGAAACAGCAAAGGCTATGTCCCTGTCAATATCCTAGTCGTAGTGCTGTAGACTTTTATGCCTAAACTAGCTAACCTATTCAGTATAGCTACAGACCAGTATCAATAGACAATGTGGAAAACTCTGCAGGGATGTCCTATCCACAAAAAGGAGAAATTTGCTCAATACCACAAAATCAAACTAAAAAAACTGCATTTGCTGGCAATCAGAAATTAAAACAGCAAGTACTGGAAATGCTCAAGGTTTCAGATCAATGACTGTTCAATAGTGAAGAAAGGGAGGACGGTTTTGATCAGGAAGAACAAACTTTGATTGGATCAAATGCAGGAAAAGGTTAAATTTAAAGAAAAAGCTTAGTGGTATACATGACCAAAAGAAGTGGTGATGGATGAGGTATAGAATCAAAACATTTGTCCAGATGAGTTGTGTACAGCTGCATAGCGATCAACCAGACGTGAAATGCAGGAATAAAGAAAGAAGCATGGAAAAAGGTAGAAACAAAATGTGATGTAAACATCTTCATTTTTGACCTTAAGTTAGATGAGTCTTTGAAGCAGCTGAACATGTTTGGATTAAGATATTGCAGTGAACTCCTGCTGCCATGGCTTGGGGCTATGTTGATTTGGTTTCCAACAGCCAAAGCTCAATCTTTCTTTGAGCTAGGACTAACTTCAGCAAGTGGAACGTTATCATCTAGCTTCCTATTCATTTCAAAGTTGCAAAGGCTCCTTTGATGCAGCGCTCAAAGCAAATGCTGCCTTGATGTCAAGGCCCATCACATTTCCTTATCATTAGAATTTAAATACTTCCATAATATTTGTATAAAGATGGGGTGGGTGAGTCATTAGGAATAAACAGTATAGTACAGAGCTTTAGCAAGTAGTGCAAAGTGAATATTGCTTGAAAGTACTGTCAGTGATGCCTTTTATTATTTTGCTGAAGGAATGCTAATTGATGAACGTAAGCTTGGAAAACGTACTTCATCTTTCATCTAGACTGTCTTCAGACTTCTCGACTCAACAAAAGAGTTCAGAAATTTGGATCATAATATCTACCCATATTTTGTTTCATATCCTTTTACTTGTTTCTGTGTGCATTGCTCAATGTAACAAGTTGATCCTGGAATCTCAAATTTGGAGAACTGTTCCTGTTGCGCCCCACAAGCTGGACAAGGTCAGAAGTCGCACAACACCAGGTTATAGTCCAGCAGGTTTATTTGAAATGACAAACTTTCGGAGTGCTACTCCTTCGTCAGGTGAAGTGGCAATACTTAAATACTTGACAATCAACCAAAACCAATGAGGTGCATTAAAGAATATTGAAGGAAGTGAGTGTGGAAATTGAAGAGGCGATGATGATTATCGTCAGACCCAGTTTGTTTTCTGGGGGTGATGCATGATGAATAGGAAAAATTGAAAACATTGCAACCTTGTTCAATCAAGATTATAAAGATTGACCCACCATTTAAGACCAGTCAGTTTAACTTTGGAAGTGGGAGAACTTCAAGAAACCGTGAATTGGGATCAAGTTAATAGTCCCATGAGAAAATCTTGGATTGATCTGGTAGAGTCAAACAGGAGTCCCTGGCTCTGCTGCTGCTGCTGCCACCTCACCAATAGCCAGGTGTCACCGCTTTGGGCCTACCACGACTGCAACTGGGGGGTTCCTGGTGCTCCTGCTGCCTCAGTGACACGAGGACTCCCCAATCTGGTCATACAATACTGCTGCTATTAAAGCCACTTTCTCACTAACGCCAGGAGTCCCCACTGTGGACCTACTGAAACCAGTAATGCTTGGCGCCACTGCCAGGTCATGCCACCGCCATGCCAAAAGTCTCACTCCAGTCACCACCCTCCAAGATGTCACCTTTCCGCCACCGTTACCTTGAGATGCCTACATCCACGCCTCCAATCAACGGGAGGCTGCCACCACTCCACATACGCCACACTCTCGCTGCTGCTGACTAACCCACCAAAGAAAAGGGGGGAAAAAAAGAATTGAAAGGAAAGTCTGAAAGAAAAAGATCAGAAGGAGAAAGAAAAAAGAGAGCAAATGGGACCAGATGAGCCCTGGGCAAGAGCCTGCAAACAGCCCTGCTGCTTTGCTGCCATCTTGGAAAGGGTAATCTGTTCTAAAAGGTGTGCAGAAACAGAATGACCTCTGTGTATAAGTACACAAGTCCTTTAAGGTAGCAGCATACGTAAGAGAGAAAACTGTTCATGAAGCACAAAGTTCTCGGCTTCATAAGTAGGGACACAGAGTATAAGAGCAGGGAATTTATGATGAAATTTTTTTGAGATGCCAGTTAGACATCGGCTGGAATGTTGTGCAGTATTGAGTACCATACTACAGAAAGGATGGGTAAAGTGCAGAAGAGGTTTATGAGAATGGTTCTAGGGATGAAACATTTCAGTTCTAAGCAATGCTTGAAGAAGTTAGCACTCTTTCTACCCTGAAAGAAGGCTAAGAAGACATTTGAAAGCAGTTTTCAAAATCATAAAGGGTCTGGAGAGAATGGATAAGGAGAAACCACTCCCCCTCAAATGGATCAAGAACTAGCAGGCACAGTTTTAAAGTGTTTTGTGAAAGAAGTTAATGCAAGGTGAGTAAAAAACATTTTCCCAGTACTTGAGATGTAGAATGCAGTGGCTGGGAGTATGATGAAGGCAGGTTCGATTGAGACGTTGAAGAGGATATTGGGTAGCTGTTTCTGTTTAGGTAATGTGCATAGTTACGGGGAGAAGGCAGGAGATTAGTCCTGTTAAAATGCACAAATAACCGATGTGGAAACAATGGGCTGAATGTCCTCCAGTGTAAAAATTCTGAGAATCTGTGTATAGTTCATTGATTTTTGTATCTACATAGTTCTTTAAAGTAGGTTGTACTTCTGTTTACCTATATATCTTTTCTTCTACACTAATTTTCTTTCATTTCTTGTCTGGATTTCTGTTTTTTTTCTCTTCGTATTGCTGAAGTCTGTTCAGAAGCTGTCCACTATCTATGATGATCATCTTTTAATTAAAAGAAGTGTTCAAGTCACAGTGCAGCCAGTATCTGATAATCGGAATCTGGCTACAAATATCAGCCCCAAGTTTGATCGACCTTTTCGCAAAACAGAAAGAGATGAACTTATGGAAGTTGATGGTGTGAAGCATTTTTATCACAATTGCTTTTTCTCCCCATCTAGGAATATCTGCCTCTGGGATACACTTGTGCCACAAACCAATAGTCTAGTTCACGGTGAGTTTTTAGTAGAAAATGTATGGTGTCAAATTCCCAATAGTATTTACAACGAAACTGTATAGGCTATTGTTGAAAAATAGTTCAGAACAATTGTAAAAAGTTGATTGAGTATAGTATTTTGTGGTCTTCTGCAAATGGTGCATATTATTACTTGAACAGCTAGTTTGCAAAAGATCAAATTACACTGTATGGGTTCAGCTACTGTCACCCAGACTCTGGAACGCTGTCTGCATCTCTTGTGCATTCATCTTTTGCTTTCTCCTTGAAAACACCATAAAATTTTACCAATGATCAAACTTTTTTTGTCTCTAGTCTAATATGACTTTGTGACTCAGTGTAAAATTGTCTGATAATGGTCCTTTCAGTCACCTTGCAGTGTTTTGCTGCTTTAAATGGGCTTAATCAGTGCAAATTATTGTGAAAAAGGCCAGTGTCAAATCTATTCTGCGCTATCTTTAAGTCATTTTAGTGTGACTGCATCGTGTGACTGTTTTGTAGAATTCTAGTTGTTTGGGGTCGTTATAAATTCACGGAGTAGGTTCATGTTTATAGTGTAAGATACACACTTAAATATAATTTTAAGTACTTGATGCAGGACGTGACTGAATACATTATGTAAATGCTCAAAGAGTTAATGTTTTATCAACATGAGACTGATGTTCAGTGAAAGCTTTTATCGCCAAAAATTACATTTTTTTTGCAGCTTTACAACACACTCTCCACCCCACCCCAATCTCCTCCACCCCATGCTGGAAAAAATTGAATAGAAGATTATTAACCCATAGTGATTAGAACTCTTTTAAACTTCAATTTTGTCTTATTTTTCTCGTTTAGATTTTAATTCTGTGCTCCAGAGTTGTATGTGCACTATATGAATACTTTTTTTGCTTACTTTGCTGTCTTATACATTTACTAAAGCTAATGAGCTTTAGTATATAACATTTAAGAAAAGTGCACATGTGGAAGTGCAATTTCCATTGTGTTGTCAACCTCTAATTTCTAATTTGTCATTAAAACTTTCCTATTTTAAATTCTAACACGATTTATTCCAATATGGAAAAAGTACACTTTGATTCAATTTGAAATGTGATTACTTTGTTTTAAATTAAGAATCTCTTATTACGTTTACATTCATATAATCTGCTCTAGTACAATTGGTTTATAGCATACATGTTTAATGCAGTTTCTAGCTGAATTCAGCATCCAGAAGCCTTTTTTCATTTTAAGTTAGATCTCCCCAACATAGACTTTAATGAGTAGTGCGCATATATTTTGGGTTGTGCTCCAGCCATGTGAAACTTGTGCATCAGGTACCTTGGGTCTTGCATAGTATTAAAGCAGTTTTAAGAAAATTGGGTATCAGTCCAATAAGCTCCATCTTCCTGTTGCCTTCAGGATGAGGTAAGGAACTCTTCCCTTCAGTGTATTACCATAATGCAATGTACAAATGCACAACTATCTGTGTTGTAAGTATACCAATTTTACAGTTGCTAATAGTTCATATCAAAATGCACATCAAATTGTAGAGTCATTGCTGAGTTATACCACTAAATACACATTGTTCTAAGGCCATGCAGTGGTCTGAGTATGTGTATATACCTGTGTTCTGCTCATTGTCACTCTAGAAATGTGTTTTTCTATTTGTTGGCTCACTCAATGTTGTATAGAGCGCCAGCATTTTAAGTTGCCAAAATGATTTCTCTTTTGTTAAATCGTGAGTGAGGTGAGCTGTAAAATAAAATATAAAATCCAACAAGGTCAAAAGTTTTGATTAAATTTGTTTTGAGGAGATTTTATTAGACGTTCCAAACCAGTGGGGATTGTCATATAACTAGTTCATATCCTCTGGAAGGTTTCTAGCAACATGTATAAGTCTGCCAGATGATCTATAAAACAAGGCAGCTAGTTCAATATATAATTTTTGTATTCTAGCTTTCACCTGTCATGATAGTGGAGCCACTGTTTTGGCATATGTATCAAAGCAGCAACTTTTGGTATCCGGTGGAAGAAAGGGTTACGTTTGTATATTTGATCTACGTCAGCGACTGCTGCGTCAAACCTTTCAGGCTCACGATTCACCTATAAAGGCAATTGCTTTAGATCCAGCAGAAGAATACTTCATTACAGGGTCCGCTGAGGGTAATATGAAGGTAAAATTGATATTTAAAATATCATTTGCGAATTTGAAATATTGCTGACAGATCCTAGAAATACCTTTTAAGTATATTGATCCAATATTGAACATATGTAGCTAGAAATATTTTTTCCCAGCACAAACTAAGAACCTTAGAGTAAGGAAATAATACTTTCTGGTAGGAATAGCTGAAAATAAGTCAGCACCTGTATCTCCATTTGAGGTAGGATCAAACAAAATGCTGTATTTTATAGAGGATTATTTAGTACATGAGGTATATTAATTCATTAAGCTTGCTCCATGTTGTGAATCAGCCATCTATTCATAATTTTAACATTCACAATTTCAATGATCACAGACTATTTCTTGTCCTCTCCTGTGGACCTCATGTTTTTTGTCTCCAGCAAAGTCCTATTTCTGAATGTTAATGCCCTATGGGTCCTGCATTCACTTTAACATACAGGCAGTGTAACTTATTCCATTGACTTCATTCATATGGGTCATTTTGCCTTCTCAAATTGTCATTTTGGTACTATTTATATTAAAATGTCATTGCAGTAAGTGAGATTTTTATTGGCCAAGATATGTACTTTTCATGGAGCTCCAAAAAATAGACTGGGCTGTGGGTTGGCTTCTCCATCCGTGTGATCTGAAGTTGTGTTTTCAGCCTTGTTGCTTTGAAAGGGTGCTAAGCAAAAGCCAGTCACTTAGCTGAAGTAGGAAAAATTATCACGAGGCCTAGGAGGGCTATGGGCAGAAGATTTGGTGTAGCCATTTATCAGCTTCATTTGATACGTCACTCCAGCAGATTGAAGAAAAATCATTTCAAATAAAAGTCTTGGATAGATGGGGAGGATTTTTTGGACTGGAGACCCCTGTGACCACAGGGATTGGTGCACTTTTGTTTCTCATTTATGTAAATGATTTCTATGAGCGTATGGAAGGCATGGTTAGTAAGTTTGTGAATGACACCAAATTGGTGATATAGTAGATAGTGAAGAAGGTCATCTAAGATTACAAAGAGATCTCGATCAGTTGGGTCAATGGGTGAAGATTGGCACATGGAGTTTAATTTGGGCAAATGCAAGGTATTGTGTTTTTGTAACACAAACAAGGGCAGGACTTATACAATTAAAAGTAGGGCCCTGGATAGTATTGTAGAACAGATCTAGGGGCTCAGGTATGTAATTCTTTTGAAGTTTGCATCACATTTGGTTAAGGTGGTTAAGAAGGTGTTTGGCATGCTTGCGTTCATTGTTCAGTCTTTTTTGAGTATAGGAGTTGTGACGTTCTGCTGAAGTTGTACAAGACGTTCGTGGCTCCACTTCTGGAGTACTATCCAGTTCTGGTTGCCCTGTTATAGGAAGGATATTATTAAACTGGAGAGGGTTCAGAAGAGATTTATTAGGATGTTGTGAGGAATGAAGGGTTTGAATTACAAGGAGAGGCTGCATAGGCTGGGACTCTTTTTCACTGGAGTGTAGGAGGTTAAGGGGCAACGTTAGGAGTTTATTAAATCATGAGGGGTACAGAGAAGGTAAATGGCAGGTGTCTTTTCCCTAGGATGGGGAATTTCAAGGCTGGGAGGGTGTATTCTTAAGATGAGAGGAGAAAGGTTTAAAAGAGACATGAGGCAGTTTTGTTTTCTAAACAGCATGGTATGTGTGGAATGAACTTCAGAGGAAGTGGTGGATATGGATACAGTCAGAATGTTTAAAAGACAAGGTTGTTGACTTGCTTGCCAAGCTGGCTTGTTTTTGTTCAGACGTTTCGTCGCAATGCTAGGTGACCTCATCAGTGGAGCCTCTGATGAAGCGATATTTATCTACCCCGCTTGGAATTTATACTGTCCGGTCCGCTATGGTGAGTACTGTCATTTCCGGTTTTGATACATATGGGTTTGTGTATATGGGGTCCAATTCTATGTTTGTTGATTGAAGTACGGGTGGAGAACCATGCCTCTAGGAATTCGCATGCTTGTCGATGTTTGGCTTGGGCTCCTATGGTTACTTTGTCCCAGTTAAACTGATAGCCTTCATTGTCTGAATGTACAGATATTAAGGAGAATTCATTGTGCTGTTTTGCTGCTGGCTGATGTTCATGTATTCTGATGGCCAGTTTCCTTCCTGTCTGTCCGATGTAACGTTTGTGGCAGTCGTTGTATAAATTCCAAGTGGAGTAGGTAAACATCGCTTCATCAGAGGCTCCACTGCTGATGTCACCTAGCATGGCGACAAAACGTCTGAACAAAAACGAGCCAGCTTGGCGAGCAAGTCAACAACCTCACCCACAACCCGAGCTTACAGATCTTTGCCAAAACTCTAAACGTTTAAAAGACATTTAGTTAAGGACATGAATAAGACGTATTTGGAGGTTTATGGGCCAAGGACAGGTAGGTGGGACTAGTTTTAGTTTGGGATTATAGTCAGTATGGATTATGGTTGGACCAAAGGGTCTGTTTCCAAGCTGTATGTCTGAGGACTAGAAAAATTTATAAACTTGCCTTGCAATGAACTTTTTAAATTCTGTTTATTCAAATTTCTCACGAACTTGCTGTCACTTTTAGGTTTGGAGTTTGTCTACTCACAACCTGATTCACACATTCTCAAATGAGCATGCTCGACAGTCACTCTTCAGAAACATAGGAACGGGAGTCATGCAAATCGAGACTGGTCCAGCAAATCACATGTTCTCGTGTGGAGCTGATGGAACAATGAAGATGCGAATCCTGCCAGATCGTTTTAGCACAGGAAGTGGGAAGTTAGATATCTGGCAAAATGATGTTAGATTTATACTATGATAATAATATTGTTACAGAGCCCTTTGACTCAATACATAATATATTTTAGTAGATCTGAATTTGTGTTAAGAGAACACTGGTGTCAACATGGAAATGTATATTGAGCTGAAGTCGAGTTTATTAATCCTTAATGCACTGATGCCTTAAGATTGTAAGCTTAAGAATTTTGTTAATTAAAACTAGGAATTATTGAATCTAAGTGTGTCAAAATGTATGAATGAAGTAATTTTATTGTACAATAAGAAATATGTTGCTGCTAAAAGAAAGCTTTTCTCTATTGATACAGGTGCCGGTATTTTTTTTGAAGTGTCAAAATGTACAGTGCTTTCAAGAGAATAAAATAGTACACGATACAATAATTATCTTTTTTATGCTTGTATTAAGAGTTTGTATACAATGAAGTTATCATTTGAACTGTGAGCATTCCTTTTTTTTTTGGCCTTAGGAAGCCCCTGAAATACAAGCTATTAATACTTAGTTTTGCTTAAACTCTTCAAACAAGAGAATGTAGCTGGTGTTCCAGGAGTCTGTGGCAACAGAGAATTAAAAACAAACTTGCACAGCATTTTACAACAAATGGAAAATGAAACGTTTATTTAAAAAAAAACTTCATTTTGAACTAGATCTGTAAATATAGCCCACTAAAGCTTAAATGGTTCTTCCACTAAGACAATAATATCAAAATTAATTATCTTTTTTGTGTGCAGATGCACACAGCCATGGGGAACAATAAGAAGTAACCCTTACTGCCAGTGCCACTTTGTCAGTCTAATAATGGATGTACTGTATTGCAGTCGCGTCAAGATTACTCCGTATCTGATTTAATAATCAATAACCCATGACATGGGGAAATCATGGACACAAAGCTCTATCTTGTACTGTGCTGATGTGACAGTAAATGGTTTTAAAACATTATTTGACCTTAACAATGTAATTAAAACTTCGCTATAACAATGTCAGAAAATATTTGAATGCTGCAGTGAGGCAGTAAATTCAACGTGGACAGTTATCTTAAACATTTTCAGATGGAAAAGATTAATGATATGCAGAGTTGTTCTGCTTTTCAATAAAGATACTTTGTATGATTAAATGTTTAAATACAATACTTGATTGAAAATAATCCAAAGCAGACTAATAGCTTTTCTTTCTGTCACCAAGAAATGTTGAAGTAAAAGCTGCATATTTATAAATTTGAATTGGTTATCCATTGATAGGATAACTAATGCAGAATGTGTTAAGGAGTAATCACTTAAATTTTGAGCCAACGTCCTCAACTTCAGCATTCAATATTTACCTCAACATATGTTATGAACCATTATGATCAGCATTCCTATTTAGAAGCACACAGCATTTCCATATTTGTGTTGTTTCAAAATGTTGTTTTTGGATGTTTCCCATCACTTCAGTTAGCAATGAGGGTAGTATAACAGTTTCCTGTAGACTGACTTTATTGTCCCAGTGTCAGCTAAAGAGACCTACAGAAATGAACACGGGATTACCTGGCCATTTTATTGGTTTAATTCCCTTTCCACACAAGGAATAGCTATTCTTGCCCACTTTCACTGATCAAAACTGAGTGAAATCAGGTATTCAGCAGATTGAAAAGCACAAAGCTAAACGTTTAGCTTATCAATCTATTCAAAGCCAAATGTCATTGGTCCACTTTTTAACCGGCTATTTTTGTGCGAGTCAGTTCACTTAATTTAAAAAGGTAAGCACTTTTCATTTAGACCAGCCAAAGGTTCAATTAAGATTAGGGAATAGCAATGGTACTTTAGTCAAACAGCAGCTACTTCATTACAAGATTCAGATACCAAGTATACTGCAATACAAATCCAAACTTGTACAGTTGGAAAACTTCCTCACATTGCATCAAATACTGGAACAGTTATTACTGTTTTGTGGGAAAGAAAGCGTATTTGCTATTATTACATGCACAGTCAATATTGGGAATAACCATTCTATGTGTAAAGATCGTAATAGTTCGTTTATTGTGAATGGCATCACCTTTTTCTATGGGTGTTATAACCTGCGTGTAAAACAAATAAAATATTTTATGGATTGCTTAGCAGAGAGGAATAAAATCATTAGTTTTTGCAATGGGTTCACTTTTTAATACTTATTTGGCATATGCTAGTGTGTGGAATATAAGACTAAGCATTGTCAAATGCACATTCATTTTAACTGATCACAGTTTAATGTACCTATTTATTTCATCAATTATATGAATTCTTGCTTTGCAAATATCTTACTAAATAGGCACTACATGTAAGCATTTCCATTAATCTTGATATGTATAAAGAGCTTATTTAGTAGCATTTTTGTTTGTTATATACTCAGGATGTTTTTGTCTTTCCTTTAAAACATTTATTTGTGCAACTAATTTTACTGAGTTTGTTTATTTACAAAGTAAGAGTACAACAATAGAAAGGAAAAATATGGAAGGAGAAAATCTTCATTTTAATTGTGCAATAAATGTACTAATTTTAAAGAGTTAAGTTTATGAAATGTTATTAGTAAATCTGAGAATTTTCTTCTTTACACTTTCTATGGAATATTCTGTAATTGATTTCAAGGAAAACTGCACTTGTTAATCATCGTCAATGACTTCAAATTGCCCAAAGTTTTTAGATGCAGCACCTTCCACAAGTGAAAATTAGCCTTCTGACTTGAATTATAATGAAAGAAATATGTAATCCCATCTTTGAAATTACTGGTGCTCAACTTCTCTTAGACGTTGGCCATGCTGACTTTTCAAACAAAATTGTCAATTGTGTTGTACTTAAATAATTGTTTCAATAAAACAGCTGCAGAAACAAGGAAAACGTTTTGGTGTAGTTCTTATTGAATGTGTAATATGGACCTTTCAATTGTTGACGTTGTAATTTATGTTAGTGTTTCTTTAAACAAAGCTCAGACACCTCATGTAATAGTTCTAAGTAAATAAAGCTTATGCTGCTGTACATACCACTGGTACCCCTTCCAAAATACTCTGTTCTTGAATCAAAAACTGAATTTAAGTTATTAAACAATGCATTTGTATTAACTCGGAGCCTGACTAGGAAGGCACATTATTTATTCTTGAACACCAAAGTAGAACCGTTATTTATGGTGTGCATAAGCTTGTCCCAGTCTGGGATAGACAGTTGGTTGGATGTTTTTTTTTTAAATCAGCCAGTTCAGAGTTGTTAACACACCCCTCTGGAGCAACTGGGACTTGAACCTGGGCCTCCTGCTTTAGAGATGGGGACACTACCACTTCATCACGCAAGCCCTCTCCAGGTGTGCAATTTTTTTTTTTAAATCAACCTGCTCAGTAACTTTGTTATGCACCTCAGAAACATATGGAACTTGAACCCGCTGGGTCTCTCAGAAAAGAGACAGTACCATTGAACCGCAGGATATTTCTCATCAACCCATTTAACTGTAATATGTCACACCTTTGGAGCAAGTAGAGCTTGAACCCAGACTGCCCAGCTCCATGAGGATACCACCATTATCTTGGTGCTTCCTTTGGAATCAGGAGTTATACACACGGTAAATCTGAACAGGGACACTTCATTGCTGACATCTCCACAGCCAGTTTTAGACTGGACCCAAGATCTGTTGCCTCCAGGTCGCCTGACCGGCTCTCTTCAAGGGGCAGTGCCCATAGCTACTTAGGTAACATGTGCCGCTTAATTTAAAATTATCACAATTGTACAGGCATTGTAGCCAACATGTACGTATTCAGGAATATTTACAAAAGCATGGTGACCATGGAAGAACAACCGCTCCTTTACACAAGTTCTGTCCATGGAATACATTGACACGGTTAGTGTTTCAGGGTGGGTGGTTGGGGAGAAAGGGTTGGTGGGAAATGGACGTTCCTAGAAGATTGTCTTCTCCCCTCAGAAACCTTTTTTTTAAAGCTCCTGTTGTTGTGCAGATACATCCCTCTTGCTATTGTTGCCCTGTTGCACTGCTGTTTTTTTTTCTGGGTATGGCCAACCCTGACTCAGAGACACATGGCTCAGTTGACACCACAGGTCCCAACTAGACTGTCTCGGTGTTCAGAAGGACTTGCGCCTACACCTCCCCTCCTCATTGGTGAGGGGCAGCACCTACAGCTGGTGGTCCACATGTCTCCTCCAGACCAGATCATCCCTAGTCAGCACCGTATATAAGTCCTGTTTAAGTAACCACTACTGCTGCGATCCATTTTCTCCACGTATAATTCTGGCCAATACTGCCTCTCTATTTTGGATTACCCTTGACCTTGAGGTTCCTGACCATCTGTTCTCTTTGATTTCACTCTACCATCTCTGCTGTCTTCTGGCTGCAGTAATTCGAACGTGTTTCTCAGCTGGCGATTGAACATTAAGGATGCTGGTGAGCACTGGGCCGTTGCAGGTGGTGTGTTCCTACACATGCTGAGGATCTTGTTGAATCACCATCCTAGCCACCCCTTCTGTTTTTTTTTCAAGGTTTGAACAAATCTTTTTGCCTGGCTGTTTGTCACCGGATAATACAGACCCAATTTCACATATGACTCTGTGATATACCATGTGCTGTTCAGACACTTTGGACCACGGTTTGTGATGCTTGTGACTCACAACTTGTTTTGTGTTCCTGAACCTGGCTAAGTTTACCTGGACCATCTCTAACACCTCTCTCCCCTTCCTGGACCTCTCTGTCTCCATATCGGGCAACCACCTAGAAACCGATATTCATTTCAAGCCCACTGATTCCCACAGCTACCTAGAATACTCCTCCTCCCACCCACCTTCCTGCAAAAATGCTATCCCCTATTCCCAATTCCTTTGCCTCTGCCGCATCTGCTCCCAGGATGAGGCATTCCACTCCCGTACATCTCAGTTGTCCTCGTTTTTCAAGGACCGTAACTTCCCCCCCTCGGTGGTCGAGAACGCCCTCAACCATGTCTCCCACACCTCCCGCAACTCATCCCTCACACCCCGTCCACGCAATAAGAACCAAAAAAAATCCCCCTCGTCCTCACGTACCACCCCACCAACCTCCGGATCCAACGCATCATCCTCCGACACTTCCGCCATCTGCAATCCGACCCCACCACCAAAGACATCTTTCCCTCCCCACCCCTATCTGCTTTCCGGAGGGACCACTCTCTCCGTGACTCCCTTGTCCGCTCCACACTCCCCTCCAGCTCCATCACACCCGGCACTTTTCCCTGCAACCGCAGGAAGTGCTACACCTGCCCCCATACCTCCTCCCTCACCCCCATCCCAGGCCCCAAGAAGACTTTCCACATCAGGCAGATGTTCACCTGCACATCTGCCAATGTGGTATACTGCATCCGCTGTACCCGGTGTGGCTTCTTCTACATCGGGGAAACCAAGCGGAGGCTCGGGGACTGCTTTGCAGAACACCTATGCTCGGTTCGCAATAAACAACTGCACCTCCCAGTTGCGAACCATTTCAACTCCCCCTCCC